CCAACTGCACCACCACCCCCTTCCTCTTTGGGTGACGGCTCTTGCAGATCTGCTGCCAGACCCAGACTCCGAACTTGCTGGGAGGGGGGTCGCAGCGAGCAGCCAGCCCACGAAGAGTGCCGTGGGAGGAGTAAAACTTACACTTCATACAGATCACAAGCTCAGACCCGTCGCTACACGGGAACATCACACACTTGTGCTGAAGGGCGGTGAGCTTGTCGGCACTGCAGGCTTTTAAACCGGAACAACGACCAGGAATGGGCTTCGAACCGTCCCGAGGCCGACGAATCTGGAAACACTTAGAGCAGCGCCAAAAACCTTCAAACCTAAACCACTTGTGAACGTCGCCTGAAGCAGCTCTAGGCACGCTCACACCAGGGAGGTAAGGCACATCTTTGATCGAGCTGAGAGCAGCAAACTCAGGCAGCAACTTAGCCGCGAGCTTGCAGGCTGCCCTAGCAAACTTCACACTCTCATTTGCTTCTTCCAGCACATTAGAATCTGATGGATGGAACGCAAGGGCCTCCTTAGCCCCTAGGTCGGCCAAGTGGTTCCCTAGACGATCGGCTACCTCCTGAGCAGAGATGCCTTCCTCAGACAAAGGCTGGTGAGCCTTGATTTTGAGCACTTCACGAATGTGACGACGCTCGGGCCTAGATAACAGCTGAACAAAGACACCAGAGTACAAACGTTTGAAAAAAGTTTGAGCAACTCTAGGAAGCTCATGCTGGGTAACCACGTTGGCACAATCAGTGATGATCGTGCTGGGGCCAGTGAGACACATGACCGCTCCCCAGTATCCCGAAAACTCTCCAGCTTGAGGGGTCTGGGGGAGCGGGGCCCACACAGGGCATCTCATAGTACACAGCAGCTCATCTTCGTCGGAAAACAAAACCGCACACCAGGACGCACGATTCAGCTCTTTTATAACGTGCCGAGAGCAGGAACCGTCAACAAAAACTTTACCCTGGAGGCTAAAAACATTGTCAGAAGGCGGGTCCCCACGCCACGAGACGTCCCAGGAACCCTCTTCGAGCGGGGGGGGGTGTTCGTCACCAGGATGAGCCAGGATGCCTCGGGTAACCAGAGTCAAACGATGTCTTCCCTGAGAAACGAAGTCCGTCACCCCGTCGACGATATCATCCCCCACAGCTTCACGACGTTTGGCGTCCAAACAGGGACAAACCCATAACCTGTGGTACATAGTGTCACGAGCCTTCCCACACAACTCACAAAACTCAGGGAACTCGTACCCTTTGGATCTGGCGTAGATGCGGGTCCACACCGCACCCGTGCTCCAGGCTCGAATAATGCCCTTTTCCAGCGGAGAAAAACGTTTGGTCGCTAGAGCTTCATGGACGACATCGAGGCAGCCTCGACCAGGGAGAAAAAGCTTGCCTCCAATCATCCACTCCAGCTGTCTGAAGACCGCCTCCATCGCGAGACGGCGCACGAGAGCAGGCGACAGGCACAGCAACGGCAGCTCCACGCCGCGATCGTCGATCAGCGTGGCGAAGTTGGGCATCTGCCAACTGATCCTCTCGAGACTTTTCCTCATGGCTGAGATTGGACCTGCAACAGATCTCCAAGACTTGGATTCCAAACCAAAAACAGACCCCCACACTTCTCTCATTTCAGCAAAACTCAAAACCGAGGGGTGAGAGGACAGATGGGCGTGCCAGAGTTCCTTATGCCACCTACAAATCGGAGCAATCTGAACCGCCCAGGTGGGGTCCTTTTCCAGATGCAGAAGAATCGAAAGCGAGCGGTCACCCGCACTCGGCTTGATGGTACTGGCAAAGGACCGTCTTAAAGCCAAAAGTTCCCCGTCGGAAATCCCCGAGATTTCAGCGCCGTAAGTGGCAGCAGGAAGGACCCCACAAGGAGTGTCTGTGGGAGTGTCTGTGGGAGGCACAAAGTTTTCTCGGCCGTCTCGACCGACGGCTTCCACATCCGCCATTTTGCCTGGCTGTCTGAAGCCAGTTTGCAGTGCCTGGCGCTCATTTTACAGATGATGGGGATTTCCTCTTTTCTCCCTTCTCACATTCGGGTTGTCATCCTTCATCTGATCCCCAAAGCTCTTCCTGGTCTCAGGCCCATTGGTTTGTTCGGAGGCCTTTATAGGGCCTGGGCTAAAATTCGGAGGCCGCTTGGCCTGGCCTGGGAGGAGGCCAACTATAGGCCTTGGTTTGCCGCGGGACGCTTTATGGGAGCTGCTGACACGGTGTGGCGTCAAGCTGCGCGGAGTGAAGGGGGGGTGGCCGATGGCCTCTTTGCCGTCACTCTTTTGTGGGATTTTCAGAAATATTATGAAAGCATTGATCTCGACCGTATGCTGGGCAGGTGTCTGCGTTTGGGCTTTCCCGCTGCGGTGGCGCGTCTCTGCTGTTCAGCATACAGATGTGCGCGGCACATCGTGTTAGGTGGTTTCATGACGGACGCCAGTTTCGCCAGCTTCGGCATCGTGGCCGGCTGCTCTTTTGCAACGACGCTTATTCGAGTCAACAGCCTGGAAGCTCTCGACCAGATCGAATGGCCCATTTGTACTACGTACGCTCTATATATTGACGACAACGCAGTTCACGCCATTGGTTCGGAGGTCGAGGTGCTCGAAGGGCTGGTCTCCGCCAGTTCGCAGTTGGTCGTCGCCATCTCTGAGGGGATCGGCGCCACCCTGGCCGAGGACAAAGGGGCTCTAATTTCGTCCGACAAAAAACTTGGTTGTAAGGTCCAGGAGGCCATCGGGGTGGCCCTCGCGGGGCCCTTGGTTTCTTCGGCCCCGAATTTAGGCGTCGACGACACGGTAGGTCGCCCTGTTCGGCAGCAAGGTCGTAATGCTAAAGCCAAAGCCCGTCGCATCAAGGCTTCTCGTCGGGGTAGGCGCGTGGGGAGACTCGCTCGTACGGTTGGACGCAAGGCTCGAAAGACGAGGAGGAGGAGGAGGAGGAGGAGGAGGAGGAGGAGGAGGAGGGAGGAGGAGGAGGAGGAGGGAGGAGGAGGAGGAGGAGGAGGAGGAGGAGGAGGAGGAGGAGGAGGGCGGAGGAGGAGCCTTCAGGGCCCTCTCGGGCGCTCTCTCTTGGGCTCCTCGTGGGAGCCCTGGGTGGCCTAGTTCGCCACGGCCGCCCCGCTGGGCCCTATACAGTGGGGGCCCATGCCAAGAAACACCTTGCTTGCCTTAAGTCGTGCCTGTCCCTTCACAGGAGGAATATTCAAACATAGACAATCAAAATAGCCTGGGGACGATTTGTTGATTATTTCGTTTGGGTGTTTTTAAGCATTTTTGGTGTATTTGTTTTAACTTGTTGTCCAAATCCGCCTGTAGGGGGACATGCCTGACCTGAGGCTATTGGGGAAAGCGTCGGGATTGCCAGGGGCCGCGTATGGCAAAAAAAAACATCCGCATGTCTCGGCTCGTGGTCGTGGTCGTGGTCGTTGTCGGCGTCGTCGCCGCCGCCGCTGCCGTCGTCGTCGTCGTCGTCGTCGCGCCCCTCCCGGCGGACGAACATCGACCGCACGCGGGGCACCGCGCGCGCCCTGCCTCCGCGCCCCACGACCCGCAGCCCAGCCTTTACTCCGCACCTCTTTCCTGGCCCTCCTCCTCCCCGCTCTTCCCCGCTCTCCTCCAGGCCTCCCAGATGGGGTCGGAGTAGATGGGGTCGGAGGATCGCGCCGCAGCGCCGATGCATCGGCGACGCATCAGCGAGCGATGCGGCTCGATGTGTGGCCAAATTTTCTCCACGTCTACGTCGCCGATGCAACGCCGACGTCGCCAGTGCATGGCCGACGCATCGCCGATGCATCGGCGATGCATCGCCGATGCATCGGCGATGCGGCGAGATCCTCGGACCCCATCTGCTCGGAACCCATTTAGAAGGCCTCCTTATCTCCTTCGCCTCAGTGTCCCACTCCAAAGCCGCCCCCCCCTCCTCTGCCCGCTGCCGTGCTGCCTTCCTCACCCGCCTCACTCGCCCCAGCTTGTCCAGCCTTTCTGCCCACGGAGTCCCAGGGGTCTGGGGTTCCAAGGCAACGGCGTTTCGAAAAGGGTTAAGTCGGACGTGTCTCTTTACCGGGGGAGTATGGAAAAGATAGTCAACATATAGTCTGGGGACGTTTTTTTAATTCATATCTTTGACTTTTTGAATTTGTTGGCTCTTTGTATTGTTCGTCCAAACTCTGCCTGTAGGAGGACATGCCCAACCTAAGAAAAGGTGGCAGCGAGGAGGTTCTGGGGATCAGGTGCCATGTACGCGGTTCTCTGGAGCTGGCTCTCGGGAAGAGGTTCCAGAAACCGCTCTGGGGGCCAGGATCTTCAGGGAAGCGGTCTGCAGGGAAGCGGCTCTTCGGTGAAAGGGTGTAGAAGCGTTTTTGTTGAAACGGCTCCCTGGGAAGAGGCTTCGCACCCCTCCTCGTCCTCGCTTTCCTCCTCCGCACTCCTCCTTCATGCCTCCCAGAGGGGGGAGAGCTCCCGGAATACGGCAGGGCTCCACGCACGCCGTGCGTCCACGATCCACCGGCGAATCACCATGGCCGTTTCAGATCCAGGGTTTACTCTGAGCTTGGGCTTCAGGCACATCGTTGCTCCGGCCGCGCAGCCCATCCTCGGCAAGCGGTCTCGGCATACCAATCTCATACATACAGGAGATACCGGGACGACGCGCCGTCTGGCCACCTCACCGATCACGGCCGGGCCCGTCCTTGGCCCAGGATCAGTGTACACGCTCCACACGCTCCACCTTTGCTGGAGAGGCTCACCGATCCAGAGCCCAGGATGGACCGCGGCCAGCGTCAGGAGCGTGTTTCTCTCCCCCCCCCTATGACGTAACGCCCCCCCCCCCCAGAGCGCTCCGGGCACTGCCGCTGTGCGCACGGCGGGGGGGGAGGCGTTACATTATCCCCCCCCCTGGCCCCTCCCCCCCCCCCTTTGATGCCCACGATCGCCGAGGATCAAGAAGCGCGCTCCAGCGTCAGTGAGGTGGCCCGCGGGCGCGACCCGAGGAACCATGGGGTGCGCGCACTCCGTGACCCTGCTGGACGAATCGCACGCTGGCGCCCGCGTCGCGCCCTGCTCGGAGAGCGCTTACGTGCGGCCGGGCGCCAACGCCTTCGACCCCAGCGCGGACACCAGCAAGAAGGTCGACTCGGCAAAGGTCGGGGGCGCCCGGGAGGGGGACGAGGGCCAGGGGTAGGTCGGGCGTGTCCCTCTTCAGGGGGAGTGTTCAAAAACAGTCCAACAAAAATAGCATGGGGACGATTTATGGATTATTTTGAATTTATTTTTGAGCATTGTTTGGCTCGGTTCTATTTTTCGTCCGAAATCCGCCTGTAGGGGGACATGCCCGACCTAGGGCTAGGGAGCCTGGACGTCATGGCTTGGGCCGCGGCATCTCCCAGATATCGTAGTTCAGGTCTGGACCTAAACGCTATTCTGCTGTACTTCGACTGTGATGTGTTTTTCGCTTTGGCAGGGAGGTACAGGAAAAACAGGTAGAGCAACTCGAACAACAAAACGAAACCAAAGCGAAAAACTAACTTTAGGTCCAGCCCTGTCGTAGTTCCCTCTTCTGGCAGCGCGTCCCCTCCCCCCCTCTTCTTGGGCCACCCCTGAGATCCGACGTTGCGAAAGATTGCAACATCGCGAAACTCTACGAAGCCTAAGTCGGGCCTTTCCCTGGACAGGAGGAACGTTCAAACATAAATAACACAAAACAAATAATAGTCTTGGGGCGATGTTTTGTATGTTCGATTATGTTTCCGACTTTGGGTCTTTTTTTACCGCCAAGAAAATGTCGCCCCAAATCCGCCTGTAGGGGGACATGCCCGACCTAATCGAAGCCCCAAGCTGTCCTCGGTATCTTTCCGCCCAGATCGGCCTGTGATGGTCCCGGGGTCCGAGACTGGGCGAACACGCCCATGGTGAAGAATTGCAACGCCAGGATCTCAGTGTCATCGCGCCAACATCGCAGAGCGGATTTCGTTCGGAAAACGATAGGATGGGCCCGGAGTGTCCTGGAGAAGTTCGTTCCGGATTTCGAGGTGAATTTCGCGCAGGTTTCTTTGGCCAGAAATGGCGACCAAACACAAATCCACGCGAAATTCATTGCGTTTTTCGCTCGCCGCTTCGGGAAACAATCCACGCAGAAATCCATGCAAAAATCCGCTGCAGCACGTCTGCAAGGCTGGTGCAATGATCAGTGACCGACGCACCCGACAAGGCTGCAAGCAGTGGCGAAGCGTCCTGGTTTGCTTATAACCCTACCAAGCAATGGTCTAAGAACCTTTCGTGGTTTCCCACGAAATGTTCTTAGAACATTTCTGGCGGAGTCTGTTTGGTTTTACCACATCGGGCTTATGTTCTAAGATCATTGTTTTTGTTATTCGAAAATTTTTGGGTTCTAAGAACATTTCGTGGTAGGACTATAGGAATGCCGGGACCGTCGGTCCCTGCTCAAAGGCTGCTTTGCAGCCCGCCGCCGTCGCCGAGCCCAGCTTCGGCACCAGGGAGCAGTTCGTCTCGCAGTACGAGCTGGATGGCACGCTTGGGAAGGGGTCCTTCGGGATCGTGGTGTCGGCCCGCGACAGGGTCTCGGGGCGCGAGGGGGCCGTGAAGATCGTCGACTCGGGGAGCGGTGCTCCGATGCGAGAATTTATACATGACCACCGCCTGGAGGATCAATTTTCGGTGACCTCGGCAGGCGGTGGATATGGACATTTTCGGGCCCCCTGGGGCCAAAATGTGTCCATATCCACCGCCCGCTGGGGCACCAGGACCTCGGTTCCCAGGCGGTGGATATGGATAAGTTCCCGCGCCGCAGGTGGGCCCGCTCCCGCCACCAGCAAGGCCTCCGCGGTAGATGCCATCCAGAAGCGGAAGTGGAAGAGTGCCATGCAGGAGGTCGAGGTGATCGGGGGCAACGGCGGGGGGGGACAATTCGGCTCGGGGGGGGAAGCATCGACCCCCAATCGCCCACCGATCGCCGATGGGGGCCTGATGGCCCACCCCGCCCAGGAGAGTGCGGATTCGCCATCAAGGGCCCATCGCCGATCTGTCGGGGATGTGTCGCCGATTCCAGCTCGATGTTCCTCCCCCCCCCGCTGAGCCCGCTCCCCCCTCGCGTTCTCCTCAGGTGTGGCGTGCTGTCGGCAGACACGCCAACGTCGTGGAGTTGCACGAGCACTTCTACGACAGCCGCGTCGTGTTCATGGTCATGGAGAGGTGCGAGTGCACTGTGGCAGAGAAGTGCGACTCGAACCCGCGGTTGCTGCAGTCTGGGCTCCCGGACCTCCTGCGCCAGATGCTTCTTGGCGTGGAAGCTTGCCACAAGGCTCGAGAAAGATGAACAACTGCATAAACACAAACGTTTGGAGCACCGTGCGGACCTCCCAACATTTAAGTTTGTGCAGCTGCCTGTTTCTCTAGAGGCCTCGGTGGCGCACCGCGATATCAAACCGGACAACTATCCAGCTACCTGCGGCAAGTCCAGCCACCGTGCCAGCCCAGCATTCTGGGCGACGACTGTTCGACGGGGCCTGGGATGCCGTCACGTGTTACACCTCGGGTTACCAGGCTTGGGAGAGCCGTGATGAGGAGGAGAAGGAGGAGGAGGAGGAAGAGGAGGAGGCGAATGAGGAGGAAGAGGAAGGCCGTTACATGTGACATCATGTGACACATCTTATTTTCATTAATGGAACTCGTTCGGGCCGTCTTGGGGCTGTCCTGGCTTCCTGGGGGGCAGTCTTAGGGATCTCGTGGGGCCCTCTTGAGCTGTCTTGGGGCCATCTTAGGCAGTCTTTCGTCTCTCGTGGGCCGTCTTGGGGCCTTCTTGGCTTCCCATGAGGCAGTCTTGAGGGTCCCCGGGGAACCACTTGGGCCGTCTTGTCTCCTCTTAGGCCGTCTGTGGGCTCTCTTGGCCGTGTGGTGGGTGTCCGGGGGCCGTCGTGGAGCCGTCTTGGGTGGTCGAAGGGCCTTCTAAGGCAGTCCTGGGTCCTCGGAGAAGGGCTTTAGTTTCTGCTCACTGCTGATATCAAGGTTTAACTCCCATCCCGCGCGACTCCGAGGCGCGCCACGACACGCCCAGAACGGATCCCGCGGCGCGCGTGCGCAATTTGGCGGCGAGCGAGGGAGGGAAATGATCAGGGGCCCCCAAACGGGGTGGTGACCACACCGTGCGGTGAGTTGTTGGGGATTGGGGGTCACCGCACGGTTTTGGGACTCGGGTCGTTCTCCGAGGATGTCTCGGGCGACAGGGGCCTCCGGGGTCCCAAGACCGTGCGGTGACGGACCGTGCGGTGAGGTCTTGGGGGATTTTGAGGTCACCGCACGGTCTGTCACCGCACCGTTTCGGGACTCCAAACATGAGAAGGATAATGCCTTTTCAGAAGGCGGCGGGGCTTCTCGGAAGCCCTCGCGCCTTCCTAGAAGCTTTTTCCGTCTCTGGGGAAGGCCCAGAGAATTTTTCAGAAGGCCGGGGGACTTCCGAACCTTTTGCGAAGGCCTTCTCCTTCTCACTTCCCCCCCCCCGCGCTTGCCGCTCAGAACGGGCTGTCCAGCGATCGTCCCGTTTTGGAATCCATTGCCCTTGTTATCCTGATTCCTCCTGGGGGTTGTCCCCGGGGGCGGCCTCTTCTTATTGGCGCCTCTTCCTCCTCCTCCTCCTCCCTCTCCTCCTCCTCCTCCTCCTCCCTCTCCTCCTCCTCCTCCTCCTCCTCCTCCTCCTCCTCCTCCTCCTCCTCCTCCTCCTCCTCCTCCTCCCTCTCCTCCTCCTCCTCCTCCTCCCTCTCCTCCTCCTCCTCCGGGGCCTCTTGTTGGCGCCTCATGGCGCCTCTTCTCATTGGCGCCTCATGGCGGCCCTTTCTTGGGGCCCTCGCGCCGCCGGGGGCAGGAGCGCGGATGGGGGCGGCCCGCGCGCGCGGTGCGCCCGCCGCTGCGCTGACCAGGCGCGGGCGTTGAATGCGTGCTTCCTCCTCCTCCTCCTCCTCCTCTTCTCCTCCTCCTCCTCCTCCTCCTCCTCCTCCTCCCCCTCCTCCCCTCCTCCCCCCTCCTCCCCCCCTCCTCCCCCTCCTTCTCCTCCTCCTCTTCCTCCTCCTTTTCCTCCTCCTCCTCCTGCGCACAGCACGCCGAGGCGCGCCAGGCGCAGAGGCTTATAGGCGCAGAGAGGAGAGAAGCGAGCGGGCACAGGAGAGCGCCGAGGCGCAGGGGCCAGAGTGAATCGCTCGGTGTTGAACGAGCGGACGTTTCGGAAGTGGCCGATCGTTCCAGGTCCCGGACGTTTCGGAAGTGGCCGATCGTTCCAGATGGAACGATCCCCGCGGTGTCAGGAACCAGCGCCGAAGTCGGCACGCCACGAACCTGCCGTACTGTTCTTCAAACCGCCCAATGGGTTTTCACGAGCCTGAAAAATGTAAAATGGTGTCAACCGTGAGCCCCGGGAGGCCTTCTCTGGCCGTCTTGGGTGGCTGCCCCCCTCCCTCGCGGAGTCCGCTGGGTTCATCTTTGGGCCCTCGGGGGAGCCTCTTGGGCCGTCTCGGATCCATCCTGGGGGTTTTCTGGGTCGTTTTGAGCTCACGGAAGCTCGAAACGGCGAGAATGCGACAATTTTTACAGCGGGACCGAGGTGTTTCATCGAAGTCGGTTCGGGGAGGGTATTCTAATGTTCTTCGTGTTTGTTGGATGTGTTTGCGCATCCTGGGAGGGGCGCACTTGGATGTTCTGTGTGTTTTCGCCGGCGGAGGGTCCATGTTCCTGGAGGATGTTCTTATGTCCTAGGTCTGACTGTGCACAAATAATCGGATATAAATCAATGATCTTGGTGTCTGCGGTCCCTGTTGGAGGTCCTCTCGTGGCCCTTTTGGGCCCTCTTGCGGGCATCTTGGGCCGTCTTGAGGCCGTATTCGGTCGCCTTGGGGCCATCTTGATTTGTCTTCGAGGAATATTGGACCGTGTTGGTGTCCTTGGTTGCTCGCGTGGACCGTATTGGAAGCTCGGGACACGGATCGTGGCCTCGGGAGCGTGTTTCCATGTTTTTTGTTTTGCGAGGGATGTTGGTTTCGTGGAGGGGTGGGATGCACGCCGCACTCTATGAGTAGGGGGGCCTTTAATCATCCAGACAGTGTTTTCACTTGGGGTTTCTTTTTTGATTTCTGAGGAACCGGGCCTGTCTGTCGGTCTGGCGGCTATGTTGCCGCCGTCGCCGCCCCGTCGCCGCCTGGTCGCCGCCCGTCGTCTGGGCCTGCCTGTCGGTCGCCGCGCTTATTGCCGCCGTCGCCCCATCGCCGCCTCGTCGCCGCCCGTCGTCTGGGCTTGTCCATCGGTCGCCGCGCGTGTTGCCGTCGTCGCCGCCCCGTTGTCGCATGGTCGCCGCCCGTCGTCTGAGCCTCTTCTGTCGGTCGCCGCGCTTGTTGCCACCGTTGTCGCCTCGTCGTCGCCCGTCGTTTGTTCCTGTCAGTCGCTCGCCGCGCTTGTTGCCGCCGTCGCCTCCCCGTCGCCGCCCCATATAGATTGCACAACAGAGATTGCACAACATATATTGTACAACATATATTTCACCACAAGTATTGCACCACATAAGTTGTGCATTACCGAGATCACACCATAAATCCCCAGGCCGAAAGAATTTCTTCTTAGAGTTCTAGTATGACAGTATCAATGGATCCAATTGGGCCCATTTCTGGGCCTGTAACCATTACGTGGATCCTATTTCTGTCTTTGCGCGGATCCAAGTTCCCGCGTGCACAAATAATTCATCTATCTATCCGGTCGGAATGAATCTAATGTGACAGCGGACCTCCTTTCCCAGAGAAATTTGGATCCGCGGGGCATTGCACGTGATGCATCATGCTATGCACGGAACTGTGGCGTTGCAGACCCATGCTAAGATTCTGCGGGGGAATGGTTTCCTTAGGGTGAAGAGAGGGAGGAGGGAGGAGGCACGGGGAAGGGAGAGGAGGCGAGAAATGGTGGACGGAGGTGGGAGGAGGATTTTAGAGGACCAGTGAAGGAGGAGGGTAAGGGGGAGAGAGGAGGGAGGAGGAAGAGGAGGACGGCGGGAGGCGGAGGGAGGAGGCAGGAGGGGGGAAAAGGCGGGAGGAGGGAGGTGAGAGGACGAGTAGGAAGAGGAACAAGAGGAGGAGGAGGAGGAGGAGGAGGAGGAGGAGGAGGAGGGAGGACGAGGAGAAGGTCAGAAGCTCGATCGCCACAGTGGGCCCAGCCACCTCCCCCAAGCCTGAGCCCTCCGATGTGGGTGGGTGGTCGAGCGCCGCAGGGGGCCTGGCCACCACACGAGCTCCTCCCATAGCACACGGTTGCCCGAACGCCAGCGGGCCCGGCCAGCTCTCGCATCTCTTCCCATAACGTGTGGCGTGCCACGCCCCAATCCGAAGCGAGCGCACCGTACATCTGTTCACTTGCACGGCACGGCGTTTCGCACATCGGGCTCAAGAGGAACATCCCTGGGCCCGCGTAGTAGTATTGCACCACCCAGGTCCTCTTCTCTACAAGAGTAAGAGGTTCTACCCCTCCCCGAAATTCACGGGACCCCTGTTCGCGCATTGTAATTCACAAGTGATTCGGCGCCACCGTCCATCCTAAGTATGATTTCGTATGATCCCAGCTAAGCCAGCACTCCCCCATTATCCTATGCAGAATATATCCGATGCAGAAAACATGGGACGACACGCACACTCGCGCAAGTTGAAATCTTTCCAACACATCTCAGGTCTCGCAAGGATTTCAACATCGAGCGCCCCGAGACATCCAAAACCACGTGGTTTCGCAACAAGAAGAGCTCAACTAAAACCTTGCGCCCGCGCTGTAGCGGATTCGTAGGTAAACAAGTGCGTCAATTTCTACCAAGCGGGCCTGCCGCGCGCGCGTGGCGAAATCGTTCCAGCGCCGTTGCGCGCGTGGTGTCGCAAAAACCTTTGTGCAACAGAAAGGGGGCGAAGTGCCCACGCGCGCGTCGTCGCGCGCATACCGAGCTTCTCCCAGACCCTGTTGTAGGTTTCGGAAGGATGTCAGATTCGAATGCCCCAGTAACATCAAAACACATCATGGTTTCACAACACAAACTCTCAAGAAAAACCTGCGCTCGCGCTCCTGCACATGTCCGTTCAATTCGGCCAAGCGGTCTTTTTGCGCCGCATGACGAAGTCACTCGAACGCGGCTGCGCGCGCTGTGGGGCCAAGTTCGCGCACCAGCCGCGCGCGCCTGTGTGGCTCTTTCCAACATTGTGGTCAACGACGCGAAGTCGCCGTCATCGCCGTCAGCGTGATCAGCATCGGCGCCGTCACTGGCCTTGCCGTCGTCGTTATCACTATCGCCGCTTGCATCGTTTTTTTTGCCATCATCGTGTCTACGCATGTCGACGTTGCCATGATACCGCGCCCGCCCAATTCGCCGACTCTCGTTGACTCGCCCGCTGGGAAGCGCCCAGCAGTCAGTGCCACCGCGGCGGCGTCAGTCGCGCCAAGCTAGCTTGCTGGTTTGCGCGCGAGCATGCGCGCTTGCGCGGCCGCAGCGATGCGCCAGCCATCGCCGAACACTCATCGCAATCGCCGCCGAGGTTTTACAAACCAAGTTGCGGGTGGGTGGGCAGGCAGGACACTTGGACCGCACACTATATTTCGCTCACCGTAACCACGTAGAGTGTTTTCTCTCTCTCTCTCTCTCTATCGGTTTTTCTTTCCCTATATTATATATGTATGTATTATACAGCGCTTGATGAGCCGAATCGATCGCACCGCACACAGTGCACGACGTAGATTGCACAACCTAGATTTCACAGCATCGACTGTTCCACACCATGCGCTGCACGACCCAACTTGTACATGTATGTCGCGCCATTGGTTGCACAGCGTAGGTTGCGCACCCTGCATTGCATGTTTTGATAGCTGCACGTCGAGTGCGCCACGGATAACGCACCACATATATTTCAAGTACCTGGTTTGTTCCATACAGATTGCACATCATATGTGATTCGTCACAGGCCGCACCACCTTGACTGCACAGCATGGATTGAACACCATAGATTGCACAACAGCACAGCGCCGATTGCACCACATATACTACGCCACATTTGTCGCAACATTTATGGCGAAATACACAGCGTCTGGGGTCCACGATGGCCGACATATCACAATACAGAAACCCTACTGAGCAGCACCTGGCATTCTAACACGCCCACATTGTGCAGGCACGGTGGCGTATCTGATCGGCCTCGATGGGGTCACTGTGAAGCTGGGCGATTTCAATCTGTCTGCCGTGCAATCGCCTGGCAGCAGCTTTTCGGGTGAGTTCGGCACAGCGCCGTTCATGTCCCCCGAGATGCTGGCGGGTCGGCACGGGGTTGCCACCGACGTCTGGTCGTTCGGTGTGATGGCGTATTTCATGTTCTTCGGGGAACTTCCGTACATACCACATGAGGTCTCCTCGAAGGCGGCGAAGGCGGTCATCCGGGCGGGAGTTCCTGCGCCGAGGTACTTGGAGAAGATGCATCGGGATCGCAACAGCGACAGCATGAGCTTCTGCAGGGATCTCCTGCAGCGCGATCCGAGCCAGCGCTGCAGCGCAAGCGTCGCCTTGGGGCACTCTTACTTCGAGGCTGTGTTCAATGCGAAGAAGGCCATGGTTAGCACCCAGGACACCCTGGACCCGTTCGACCTGGACCCGCTGGAGTCGGACGACGACGACGACGACGACAAGAGCGTCAAGAGCTACGACTCGGAGATTGGCGAGTTGCCGGGGACGCTCACCAGCAACTGAGGGTGTGTTCGCGGCGATGCCGCCCTCGAACTCTCCGATGCAGCTCTGAAGCCCAGTGCCTAGTGGTGCATCGCTCTGCAATTCGTCAGCTGCAGCCTTCGGGCCAAATAGGCACATCGAAGGACCGCTCCTGATCGAACTGCCCGCTGGCCATCTTACCTGTCAACGCCCCCGCTGGCACCCAGGAGGAGGGGGTTCTTTGTGCGGGTGCTTTGGGCGGGGCGGAGAGGACGAGGGCAATGAGCACCATCTTCACTGTCCATAGGGGGGGGAGCGGCCAACAAACGGCCTGGCGGTGGGGAAGGGAGATAGGGCCGGCTTTCTCATCGAGCAGGGACGGGCCGTCCTGGCAGTTCTAGGCATACCACAGCATGTTCTGAGATCAGGAGAATGTTCTCAGAACGAAAGCAATGTCTCCAGAATGTGCACACGCTTATCTAAACAAGACTGTCTCAAACAGAATTGTTATATTTTGAGCACTTCGTGCGAACCAGAAAAGCTTCTCAGAACATTCTTTGGTGTTTGCATACAGGCGAGTCAGGACGCCTCGCCACTGGTTGCCCTCAGCAGGCGGCGGGGCTCTCAGAAGCCCTGCCGCTGCCCAGAGCCACCGATGTCTTCTCGGCGGTGGCACTGGCTGGCCCACGCAAATTTCCGAACGCGCTCACAGCGCATGCGCGTGGCATTTGCCGCAGCTGCATTCCCCGTCGTAAGGTCCGATGGGCTCCGGCGCAGCGACGCTCGTGATTAGCTCGCGCGTTGGCGGTCCCATGGAGTTTCGATCCATCGGGCTACCCACTCGGAATTAGTCGGTGGAGATTGCCCGCTGGGTGTACGGTCGGAGCGAGGCCCAAGAACACGATCGGTGGGGAGTGGATACTGAATGTCCTCCGTTTTTGTTTGCATGTTCTTGTGCGACATGGGGAAAGGTACACTCGCGTGTCTTTCAGTTTGACAGGTTTTGTGCGTCCGTTCCGATGAGGTTGGGGTTCTGGGCTGGGATTCCATCAGGGCTTCCTAGATGGGCCAGGCAGGTAAGGCCGGGTGATTTTTCCGAAGGGACCTTCGGTGACTTGATATTTTTCCCAACCATCCTGTGCTGTTGGGTCCTCGTTTTGAAGAGACGGTCCCCGCGTTCCTTCCTCCTCGCCCCCGCCCTCCACCGCCCGCATGCGTCACCCACATCCGTGTCGGCACACCCCTCACACGTTTCGTGGCCCCAGAGAGCTCCACCGAAGCCCCCAGTGTGACCGCCCGCATGCGTCAGCAACCACCCAGCATAGCGTTTCGTGGCCCCATAGGAGGCTCCACCGAAGGCCCCAGTGGCACCGCCCGCATGCGTCAGCCACCACCTAGTACAGCGCTTCGTGGCCCCACAGGGAGTCCCACCGACGGCCCCAGTGACACCGCCCGCGTGCTTCAGCCACTACCCAGTACAGCGCTTCGTGGCCCCATAAGGAACTCCACTGAAGGTCCCAGTGGGACCCCCTAAATATATCAGCCACCACCCAGCACAGCGTTTCGCGGCCCTATAAGGGGGCTGCACCGAAGGCCCCAGTGGCACCGCCCGCATGCGTCAGCCACCACCCAGTACAGCGCTTCTTGGTCCCATAGGGAGCTCCACCGAAGGTCCCGGTGGGACCGCCCGCATGCGTCAGCCACCACCCAGTACAGCGTTTCGTAGCCCCATAGGGAACTCCCACCGATGGTCCCACTTGGACTGCCCGCACAGCGTTCCGTGGCCCCGCAGGTAGCTCCGCAGACAGACCCCGGTGGCACCGCCCGCATGCGTCGCCCACCACCCAGCACTGCATTTCGCGGCCCCCATTGATTGGGAGCTCCACCGACAGCCCCAGTGGCACCGCCCGCACGCGTCGGCCACCACCCAGTACAGCGCTTCGTGGCCCCGTAGGGCTCTCCAACCAGTACTGTACAGCGCTTCGTGGCCTCCTCGGGAGCTCCAGCGAGGGGCACCGCCCGCATGCGTCCGCCACACCCAGTGCAGCGTCTCGTGGTCCAGAGGGAGCCCCATCCCCCCGACCCCAGTCCGGGCAGCACCTCCCACCCCAGTCCCGGCAGCGCCCCTGGGGATCGGACGAGTGGTGCCAGACTAGAACGGGGGAGAGGGGGCTGGAGTTCAGCCCCCCACGACTCAGAATGCCCGAGGATGCCCGTAGGAAGCCTCCCAGAAGCTCCCCACGAGCCCCCTGGATGCCCAGGAGTCCTCCTCCTCCTCCTCTCCTCCTCCTCCTCCTCCTTCTCCTCCTCCTCCTCCCCCATCTTCCTGCTCCCCCTTGCCCAGATGCTGTTTGTTAGTTTTTGCATAAATCTCACGATGTAATAATTATTGTTGATGCCCCCTCCGGCAACATATGTGTTTTGTCAATTGAAGTGCCCCTCCCGGTTCAGTCATACTTCTTCGCAATGTATTGAGGAATCGCGCTCTCGTTAGGGACTTCGCAATGTATCCAATAACATTGTTTCGCTTGTGATTTCCTCGCAATTTATTCAGGCACCACACCCTCGCCATTCAGGAATCGCACTCTCGCCTGGGAATTCCTCGCGGAATCGCGCTGTCGCCCGAGACTTTGCGAATTATGTAGGACCCACGCTTTCGCGTAACAGAAGTTGTTTCAATTGAAATGCCCCTCCCGGGGCTCGCTGTGTTTTTACCGGGGAAGGTCTTCCTACTCAAATTGTGCCCTTGGCCCCCAGTTTACAACAACAGCGGCTCACGCCTGATTTGTTTCACAATCTATTCCCACATCGCGCTCTCGCTGAGATATCCTCATAATTCAATGCAGGAATCACGCTTTCGCGTGGGACATCCTTGCAGTTTATTCAGACGCCACGCCCTCGACACTCAGGAATCACACTCACGCTGTGGATTTCTTCAAGATTGATTGGGGAATCGCGCTATCGCTCAAGACTTTCCTCGCGATTCATGCAGGACGCTCGCTTCAGCAACCCGCCTGCTGGACCTGGCTGTCTAGGCCCGCCTTCCCGACCCGCCCGTTAGGGTCTTCCCGCCCGATTTACTCGTCTGGTCCTGTCACGTGTTTTCTGCTCCTAGCCCCACTCCTGCTATTTTCTTTCGTGCTCCATCTTCCTCCCTCCCCCTTGTCCCTTCCTTCTATCCGTCCTCTCTTTCCCTGCCTTAGAGGCTGCACGAAATACACACCTTGCAGGTAAGAAAGATACACCCCGAAGGGGGTACGATCGAAGACGAAGAGGGCGGGTATCGAGGGTTTGGGATATACGTGTTGAGTGGCACGCGAGCAGAGAAGAGCGAACAGTTCAAACTGATTGTTGGTAGTTGCTGTTGTTGTTATTGTTGATGGTGTTGTTGTTCGAATTTATTATTGCCGATCTCCGGAGACGGCTGTGCGCTCTCTCGCCTCGACGTTGGCTACATTTTCTCTGAAAACAAGGGTCCCGCGCGAGCGTTGGATTGAGTGTGAATGTGGGCCTTTGGAGGCCCGGCTACAACGACAATGGCTCCCGCTCGATACTACCTCACAATTTACCCCGAGACACCCTGGCCAGAGAGGCACCCGAACTCAGGAACGGCGCTCTCGCTCGAGATTTCCTCGCAATTCAGTCAAGTTGGCGGAGGCCCAGCCACGACGACAAGGGCTCCTGCTCGATACTTCCTCGCGATTTACTCCGGGAGCCCCTGGTCAGGAAGGCCCCCGAACTCAGGAACGGCGCTCTCGCTCGAGACCTCCGTATTCGCAAAGGCCCTTGCCAGAGAGGCCCCAAAACTCAAGAGTGTTACTCTCGCTCGAGACGTTCTCGTAATTCATGCAAGTTGGTGGAGGCCCCTACACGGCGACAAGGGCTCCCGCTTGATATTTCTCCATATGTATTCCGAGAGCCCTTGGCTAGAGAGGCCCCCGAACTCAGGAACGGCGCTCTCGCTCGAGAGTTCCTCGCACCTCAGTCAATGGCTGGCCGACAATGAAGATATTCCCCCCGAAAGGGGGTGCAATCGAAGACGAAGTGGGCGGGTATCGAGGGTTGGGGTATACAGAATGTAAGACACCCGTGCCAGTAAGAGCGAACAGTCTTAAATTTATGGTTGTTCTTGTGGTTTGTGTTGTTGTTGTTATTGTTGTGGTTGATGTTGCTGTTGCTGGTGCTGATATTGTTGTTGTTCTTGTTGAACGTTCATGTATGGATATTGTGTCTGTCGATCCCCCAACACGTTGTACCTTGATGTGTTCAATTGAGGTGCCCCTCCTGGAGTTTGTACCCTGTTCTTCTTTCACGCGGGGAAATCTTGAGCCTGAGAATGTGTCGTTGGCCCCTGGTTTACACCAATAACGGCTCCCGCATGATATGTCCCCACAAGTTGTTGAACAATCGCGTTATCGCTCGAAATTCCTTTGCAGTTTATCCAGGAATCGCGCTCTCACGAATCGCTCTCTCGGCGCTCTGGAATCGGGC